TGCTACATTTGATTCTACAGTATATATATATATATATATATATATATATATATATATATATATATATATATATATATATATATATATATATATATGTAACCCTCACTCAGTGGGGATGCTTTTACCCACCGAGGTGTTGTGGTTAAGACGGGCTGACCCTGAGATTAAGTACACACCGACGCCGACAGTTGTTGTCAAGTACTCGTTTATTTATAGCATCGAGCCATGACGGCGATGCAACACAAAACGAACTAGCCAAGATAGACCAAAAGATCCAAACAATCCAAAAGACCAAAAGATCAAAATAGGAAAAGAAAACTGTAGCCCTAAAACAAATGTAAAATAAAAAAGTTACATTCAGGACAACACCACGTGTAAGCTACAATATACACGGGTACAATAAATTATGTTTTCGGCCAGTACACAGTACTGCCAACAAGTACCAATAAGTAGTACTACAAAATAAATACTTAATTTAATACATCACCCTAACTAGTGTGCACATGCAGCACTAGCAGGAATACATAAGTAAGTATTTTTAACAAACATAATTTAAATATCTACACTACCTTCATTAGGTCTACATCTTGGTCCACAGACAGCAGCCTTGCGTGTGCGACACGACTAGGCACATGTCACATGACATGGAACACAGGTAATTTCGCTCACAAAAGCATAAAAAAACGTCAACAGTTCAGTTGCAGTCCCACAGGGGCCGCAACCCAATGAATAAAAACTTCATAGTTTTATCCCCCTTTGGCTAGTAACCATATGTGTTACACAGCCCCCCTCACAAATAAATGTACAATGTTACATTTACATTTACATTTACACTCATACATAATAGTACTTAAAAAAAAAGTTCAGTACACTAGTACACAGACATTAAGTCCTTTCAACTTAAATAGATTATTCCCGGCAAACCGGTAGAGGCTCCAGTGCAGGTACTGGTCACCACTTGATGCGCCAGGTTGAGTCGCTCGACGGGTCGTCGTTGACGGGTTGACCTCCGCAGCTCCACTGGTGGTTCTGGGTTGATCAAAGAGTCATCCTCGTCCGATGCCTCATCCCTCGCATTCACCTCATCCAGATGTGGGGCTGGCCTGACCATCACCTTGTCTTGTCCGTCCCGGGCGACAACCTCTGGCACGAAAGGCGTTGCCTCCGGCCGAAGTCTAGTTGGGATTGTCAGTTCCTCACCTTCATCTGCCTCACTGGTTGGTATGACCTCTCTCCGTCGCTCCCCCTCCGCCACAGTGGGTTCAGCACTCGACATTGTATAGTCGGGTCGCTGCCAACCACGGCGGCGTCCACCACGTCGTCGGCCTCTCCTCCGGCGGCGTCTCCGACCTCTGCTTGTGTCATGTCTGTCTCCCAAGCGACGATCTTGCTCGCGCTGAGACTGACATTCATAGTGTGGCTGTCTACCCTCCTCACGCGCACCCTCCGGCTGCAACCCTCCTCCACGGCGGAACACCCGACAGCCGTACCTCCAGCCGCTAGGCGAGGTAACCTGAGCTGTGGTTGCTCGACACTGTGCCGATCTCGGTGGCGTAAACTTGGGCTGGGAACTTGGCAGACCACGCATCAGCATCCGCTCCCCGACGCTGATAGACTGGCATTTCCCCTGCTGCTTACCCCGTTGCCTAGCTGCTTTCCTCGGACAGTCGCGGACGAAGTGCTTCCTGGACCCGCACCCGTAACAAGCTCCTCTGTAAGGCCGTTGTCTCCGGGCTAGGATAGCTGCTGCCACCTTCTCCGCCAGACAGTCAAGTTGTTCCTCCGTGAGTATCAGCGGCGTCGTCTCTTGGCGAACAACTGCCGTTACTGCGTCGACCTGGATAGTCCTGTTAGCTGCTGCCGTGGCTACGACTGGGGACTCAGTTGTCCCGTCCAGCCTTTTAACAGCTTTCAGGACGGTCTCCATCTTCGGGCTAGCTTCCCCTGCAACCCCGCCCGTGGGTAGAAAGTCGGTGAACTCGTCCTCATCGCTGTGTACTGGAGCACACACCTTCACCGTCACGGGCCGCTGCGCACTTGCCTGCATCGCCGCCATCTTAGCCGTCAGTTCGGCCAACTCCTGCGACAACTTCTCGAACGTCGGCTTGGTGCGTTCCATCCTACCTCCCAAGGTCGAGCCCCACGTTGGGCGCCAAATGTAACCCTCACTCAGTGGGGATGCTTTTACCCACCGAGGTGTTGTGGTTAAGACGGGCTGACCCTGAGATTAAGTACACACCGACGCCGACAGTTGTTGTCAAGTACTCGTTTATTTATAGCATCGAGCCATGACGGCGATGCAACACAAAACGAACTAGCCAAGATAGACCAAAAGATCCAAACAATCCAAAAGACCAAAAGATCAAAATAGGAAAAGAAAACTGTAGCCCTAAAACAAATGTAAAATAAAAAAGTTACATTCAGGACAACACCACGTGTAAGCTACAATATACACGGGTACAATAAATTATGTTTTCGGCCAGTACACAGTACTGCCAACAAGTACCAATAAGTAGTACTACAAAATAAATACTTAATTTAATACATCACCCTAACTAGTGTGCACATGCAGCACTAGCAGGAATACATAAGTAAGTATTTTTAACAAACATAATTTAAATATCTACACTACCTTCATTAGGTCTACATCTTGGTCCACAGACAGCAGCCTTGCGTGTGCGACACGACTAGGCACATGTCACATGACATGGAACACAGGTAATTTCGCTCACAAAAGCATAAAAAAACGTCAACAGTTCAGTTGCAGTCCCACAGGGGCCGCAACCCAATGAATAAAAACTTCATAGTTTTATCCCCCTTTGGCTAGTAACCATATGTGTTACACATATATATATATATATATATATATATATAAATATATATATATATATATGTATTTATGTATGTATGTGTGTCTGTGTGTGTTTGTGTGTGTACCTGTGTGCGCATGTATATTGAAAGACATTGTTAAAACATTGTTCAATACATCCAAGGTGTTCGCTGCCTGTATAAGAACAATGGTTTGAGTGAACAACAAACGGATGCTGTAATTAGTAATTATATCTTTCTCGTTAATTAATCGAACCTTTGTTATGTTGATTTGGTTTTTAACTTTCTTTTACCCAGTGAATTTAAATTTAATTTATCAACTGAGTTTTCCCCTTCCAAGTTTGTGAGAGTCAAGGAGTTCGTCCCTCTTTTGTTTCGTCGCTTTCTACAGAGGGAAATCCATTTTTTAAATTGCAGCTCTTTTAAGTTGTTACCTTTTCTATCAGGATGAAAGGGACAAAACTCATTTCTCACGTGAGGATAGATTGAGCTGTATTCTAGATGTAAACATTTGAACAGGTCGGACATGTTCGTGGGTAAGGTGTTGACGTCCTGCTAGTCATTGGATGTAGACGTCCTGCTAGTCATTGGATGTTGACGTCCTGCTAGTCATTGGATGTTGACGTCCTGCTATCCATTGGATGTTGACGTCCTGCTAGCCATTGGATGTTGACGTCCTGTTAGTCATTGGATGTTGACGTCCTGCTAGCCATTGGATGTTGACGTCCTGCTAGCCATTGGATGTTGACGTCCAGCTAGCCATTGGATGTTGACGTCCTGCTAGCCATTGGATGTTGACGTCCTTCTAGCCATTGGATGTTGACGTCCTGCTAGCCATTGGATGTTGACGTCCTGTTAGTCATTGGATGTTGACGCCCTGCTAGCCATTGGATGTTGACGTCCTGTTAGTCATTGGATGTTGACGTCCTGCTAGCCATTGGATGTTGACGTCCTGCTAGCCATTGGATGTTGACGTCCTGCTAGCCATTGGATGTTGACGTCCTGCTAGTCATTGGATGGTTACATCCTGCTAGTCATTGGATTGGATGTTGACGTCCTGCTAGCCATTGGATGTTGACGTCCTGCTAGTCATTGGATGTTGACGTCCTGCTAGTCATTGGATGTAGACGTCATGCTAGTCATTGGATGTTGACGTCATGCTAGTCATTGGATGTTGACGTCCTGCTAGCCATTGGATGTTGACGTCCTGTTAGTCATTGGATGTTAACGTCCAGCTAGTCATTGGATGTTGACGACCTGCTAGTCATTGGATGTTGACGTCCTGATAGCCATTGGATGTTGACGTCCTGCTAGCCATAGGATGTTGTCGTTTATGGCTGTGATTTTTTCCACATAAGGTGTGGTGGATTGATGATTACATATTGAGTAAGGTGTGGTGGATAGATGATTAGATATTGAGTAAGGTGTGGTGGATTGATGACCACATGAAAATGGTAGTGAAAGCTGAAATATTTTGATACAAATTATAAAGCTATTGTGTTTAAAAAATAATTAATTTTCAAAGTTCAGTTTTAAACCATTACATTTACTAAATTATTATAATATATATTGAATGAGTTTATAAATAAAATTAGAGGTGATTTTCGGTTGATCAGGATATGGCATAAAAAGATATTAGAAATCGAGACAAAAACTGTACAGGAAGGGGAGACACAAATTGTCACATAAAGATACGTAATGAACTGTTGGGTAAAGATCAAACATAAAACATAAAGGTGTTAAATTAAGATGGGACATTAAAGGTGGGACATAAGCTTGTTATATAAAGATGAGACATAAAATTGTTACATAAAGTTGAGGCATAAACTTGTTACATAAAGATGCGCTATTTCCTATGAGCTAGTCACTAGCAGTCTCTAAAACTCAACCCAACGCGTTGCAACCTGTTGTTTGAAATAGATCTTCTCCCACCTTTGATAAAGTGACAACCCTATTTGTTACCCTCATTTGTGATTAATGGACAACCCTTATTAAACCGAATAAACCCTAAGTCAACATTATTTCCCCAACTCATCGCCATGACGTGATATTAATTATGATAATTATAATGATTATCATCCCTCCCGACTTTCTGCCAATCAGATCGATTGCTAACCGTTAGCGCTGTTTGGGCGGAAGTGGAAGCAGGCGAGGCCCCCGCATCATGGAGCGCCTGCGCATCTGGCCGTGCTAGCAGTATAAAATAATAGGTTTGTCCGAGGCGGGGGCTATTGCACAAACATCCCCGGGTCAGGCAGGACAGGACTGTGATTGATAGGTAGGGAACATCGTCAGGACCGACCCACAGCGCCACCACACCCTTACACAAGTCAGACAAGTCAACTCTAAGCCCGAGTTTAGAACGGAAGGGAAATTTAGACGAACATTTGTGGCACTTTTTGCAACTTTCTTCAAGGACTAGTACAGTTATACTGACATCTCAATTTATACTTTAGTAGAATCATTCTGACAACCCATATTATACTTTAGAAGAGTCATACTGACAACTATACTTGCTTTATAAGGAAACCGCTTTATAAAAGAACAAAACTGACTGATACCCAGAAGCAATTCTTCGTGGAAGTGTTTCCGTCATCTTTAGCTGCGCAAATGTAAGTCATTTTTTTTTGTTCGGCAAATGTAATTCATTTTCTTGTTTTTAACTCGGCTAATTACGGTTTTAGCTCGGAAAATGTAAGTCAATTTCCTGTTTTTAGCTCGGCAAATGTAAACGATTTTTTTTCTTGTTATTTTTTCCCTCATCCAATGAAAGTAATTTTTTTTCTCAACGAACAAAAGTCGAGTTTTCATGTTAATCTCAGCAAACGTTAGTCGATTTTTATTTTATTTAGCTCGCGAAAAGTAAAACATTTAATTATTTTTTTCTGCGCCCTCCCCCCCCCCCCCCCCCCTCTCCCAAACATACAAACATAGCAAGCAATAAATACTTTTCATGGCGTGGTGTTTAAACTAGGACTTAAGGTTGTGAATATTTTTGTTTTGCCGTTTTAAAGTTTTTTTTTTCATTCATAACGATACTTTGAAGAGAAAAATTAGAATAAAACAGTTTTATTTTCTGTTGTAAAGTCACCCTCGCCGTTGTCAACCTACTGACAACTTACTGCGTTGTTAATATCCTGATAACTTTTGAGGCCGTTACATGCGCATCGCAGTTGTGTTTTCTTTGTTTTGCTTTCAAATTTCGCTTTATAAAAATAGTACATAACTTGATGTAAAATAAAATTTCAATCTTTCGTTAATCTTTTTACCTAATCAAAAACAAAACTTACATGTAATAGGTTCTGTTTTTGTTTTGTGCGGTTTTGTTTTTGTTTTTTAACTCTAGTTACGCATCCAGTGAAAAGGTTCTAAGAGACATGCCAATGTGGCAAGTCTTCTAACACAACTGTCGCGATTAAACGGATTGCCTGGCTATTTAATTCAAATAAATTTCCCTTTTTTATTTTAACTTTAACAAACATGCAATTGTGTTCTCTCATCTCAGCGTTGTCAAACTAAAACCAAAAAAAAATTTGTTACTTTTATTTTATCTCAAATAAACTATGAGAACGTTGAACCACATTGTAGTAATATTGATTTATAGTATCTTTCATTTATTGACTAAAGTACTTAATATTTAGTCCTCAGTCGTTTCTAAATTTCATTTTAAGGTACTTTAATATATATATATATATATATATATATATATATATATATATAAATATAAATATATATATATATATATATATATATATATATATATATATATATATATATATATGTATGAAGTAATTCTAGTAAGCCTACTTTGTATTTTGGTGCGTTTCGACACAAAAGTACTTTAAAAGTACTTTGAAATGAAATTCCATATTGGTGTTAATCTTCGACACTAAAGTACTGTAAAAGTACTTTGAAATGAAGCTTTCATATTGGTGTTAATCCTCGACACTAAAGTACTTTAAAAGTACTTTGAAATGAAGCTTCCAAATTGGTGTTAATCCTCGACACTAAAGTATTTTAAAAGTACTTTGAACTGAAGCTTCCATATTGGCGTTAAGCTTGCCAGCAAATCTCGATTTGTTTGAGACAAGGCCGTTGAGGCCATGACGTGACCCGCCTTCAACTGCCGTTGTCAGGGTTTATTTCCTGCTGGAGGAGAATACATTTAACCTCAATCAGTGATGTTGGAATCAGGGGCGGGGGTGGGGGACATTAACTGCAGGGGTGGGGGAGGCGATTTACTGATTGCGTCTGGTTCCGACGTTTAGCGTCAATTATTGACATTAAGTGCACGTAGACGCTAAGTTTAATTTACACGGCTTTTTAAAGCGGGTTTTTTTAATCGCGCTTAATTTTAATCGTTGCTGAGTGTTTTTGTATCTGTCTAATGTTAAATCGAATAATCTCATCAATGCTCCATGTTAACCTTAAAGCTGGATCTCATTAACAAGCTAGAGCAAAAACTGCCTGAATACGCGACTGTTAGTGCTTAGATCACATATGATGGCGACACGGAACTAATATGGTACCTAGGTAGAAATAATATAAACCCAACAGAAACTATTTCCGATACATATTTATATAGAGTGTATCGCTGATAACATAGTGTATCCACATATTTATATAGAGTGTATCGCTGAGATAATATTGAATCCACATATTTATATAGAGTGTATCGCTGATAACATATTGTATCCACATATTTATATAGAGTGTATCGCTGATAACATATTGTATCCACATATTTTTAAAGTGTATATCCCTGAAAAAAATACTTATGAAGGCATACTATTACTTTGTGTGAAGTCAGTATGTGCATAGTGTGGAGTCAGTGTGTGCATAGTGTAGAGTAAGTATGTTGAAGTCAGCATGTGCATAGTGTGGAGTCAGTGTGTGCATAGTGTAGAGTAAGTATGTTGAAGTGTGGAGTCAGCATGTGCATAGTGTGGAGTCAGTGTGTGCATAGTGTAGAGTCAGTATGTGTAAGTGTGGAGTCAGCATGTGGATAGTGTGGGCTGTTCACTAGCAGTGGATAAACCGCGATAGAGAAGGGGCGTGAGGAATGGAGAAGGGAATGGTTAAAGGAATGTCGAAAGGGATTGGGTAATGGGAATACAGTAGGGAGTGATAAGGGATGCAGGAGGGAATGCAGAAGGGAAGCTGGGAAGAAAACAGGGAAGGAGATATTGAAGACGGTATGAATAAGTGATGTGAGGGAATGACGAGGGGAGAACGGGAGTGGGTAATGATTGTGGGAGGGGGAGCAGTAAAAGTCTAAAGAGCCTACAAAACTTTTGTTTGGTTAAAATTTTTCTCTCCATGTGTGAATGTTCGACTCAGCGAACTATATCTGTAATGCAGTGGGTGCTAACGAGTGTCACAACAACAAACACACGTGTTGCCACTGTCGTTCACAAGTCTTCACGGCACCGTGTGTCACAACAACAAACACATGTGTTGCCACTGTCGTTCACAAATCTTCACAGCACCGTGTGTCACAACAACGAACACACGTGTTGCCACTGTCGTTCACAAATCTTCACAGCACCGTGTGTCACAACAACAAACACACGTGTTGCCACTGTCGTTCACAAATCTTCACGGCACCGAGTGTCACAACAACAAACACACGTGTTGCCACTGTCGTTCACAAATCTTCACAGCACCGTGTGTCACAACAACAAACACACGTGTTGCCACTGTCGTTCACAAATCTTCACGGCACCGTGACAGATATCGACTCATTTTAATTAGATTAATTAAGTTAATTGTGGCGAAGAAAAAAGCCTCCCAGATCTGAGAACGTTGACAGGGCGCATGACAGTCGGAACGGATGTTTCAACTTCCGGTGGTCGGACATTCCAGCGAACTTTCAACTATAAAGGGCGATAAGTTCAAATACTTTTCCTTACATTTTTCACCACTTAAAGAACATTAAATTGTCCGTAATATGAAAAAGATTATTCCTTATGTTTATAATTATGCTACAAGCTAAAACAAACAAGCATTAAGAGACAGTGTCATCCTCTAATCAAACATTGACAAATGACAGTGTCATAACCTACTAAACAATGACAACTGACAGTGTCAGACCTTCAATAAACAATGACAACTGACAGTGTCACACCCTCATCTTCCAAGCTCCGCTGTTATCAACCGATGGTGTCAATAAAGAAAAAAGTTCTGCCCACAGACTGAGTACTGTCTTGCCCACAGTTACGACTGGTCAAGATTTTCTAAGCTCTCTTTGATCCCGTACAGGCATTTCTAGAGTCACGTGATGTATCTTCAGTTTAACATGGCTGAGATGTCAGTGTAAAAATATGTAACATGTATGACATGCGGTTGTGTCATTAAATGTTTTTAAAGTAGTATAGCTGAAGAACACCAATGGCTGAGTTCGTGTGTAAATATAATGGACAAGATGCTAACTGTACCGTGCAACTTAAATGTCTCGCAATTGTTGTCAGTGGTTTGTATCGTGGAGATTAAATGTTTGGCAATATGTGTCATCGGTGTGTATTGTGGAACTTGTCTACAAAATTTGTAATCTGAATTATGGAACTAAAATGTCTCCCGAAATTTGTCATCGGTATTTTGAAACTTAAATGTCTCGCGATACGTGGCATCTTTTTGTAATGTGGAACTTAAATGTCTCGCGATTCTTGACAGCCGTGCAGATTTAATGCTCATGGCAGTGTGAAAATGTGGATTTTGGTGAAACGAAAACTGCTAGGATGGCGTATTGATCTTGTGTGACAAGGCCTAAGTTTGGTGTAAGTTTGATGTCTGGTTCTGTTGTAACCAAATGTAAGGGTCTTAAGGCAAGATTTGTATATTTGATGAGAAGCCTGGTTTGATAAAAGTAAATTTGTGACCGTAAGACCAATGAACTTATGGTAGAAAGGTAAAGACGCTGAAATGTCTTCAAAATTGCAGAAAACTTTTGAAATCACTTTTTGTGATCAAACAAAGACAAGAGCTCTAGTCGTAATTTCATAACATGCAGCTTCCTTTCTTATTTGATCCCTCTAGCTAAGGACCCACTAATATTTCTACCCGTATAGATAAGGATCCACTGTATTTCTACCCATCTAGCTATGGACCCACTTATATTTCTAATCGTATAGCTAAGGACCCAGTTATATTTCTACCCGTCTAGCTAAGGACCCACTTTTACTTCTACCCGTCTAGCTAAGGACCCACTTTTACTTCTACCCGTCTAGCTAAGGACCCACTTTTACTTCTACCCGTCTAGCTAAGGACCCACTTATATTTCTACCCGTCTAGCTAAGGACCCACTTTTACTTCTACCCGTCTAGCTAAGGACCAACTTATATTTCCACCCCTCTAGCTAAGGACCCTCTCTAGCACAAACTGTGTTAGCTTTTAATTTGCATGTAATGACGTCACATGTGACTGTTCACTTGTCTTGCAAATGTCAATCAAATCATTTAAAAAATTTAAAGTTTCTGGTGAGCTCAATATTTTTTTCCAAATTATTTCTTAAATTAATTAATCAAAATCTTAAACTAATTAATCAAAACACTCGTACATTTTTAAACGAGTGATTAATTTTAAGAATAATATTGCCAGTTTGAATTTTTTTATG